TGGGTTGTTGAGAAATCATTGAAGCCCTAATACTTTTCAATAATTTGTTGAGAAATCATTGAAGCCCTAATACTTTTCAATAATTTGTTGAGAAATCATTGAAGTCCTAATACTTTTCAATAATTTCTAATAAATACAGTATAACGTATCTTCAAGTATCATTCATCGTTGCAATACATTTTCAGGCTGCGTTCGGGGAGACGCTATTAGCGCTGAAAACGTCAGTCTATCTTCGTCACTCACTGTATGTACGTCGAACAAAGATAGAAGACGCTTTTAGCGCTGAAAGCGCGCTCCCCGAACGCACCTTCAGTAGGCAGTTAGCAACATAATCCGTTCAAATTTCCTATTTCCTAGCTACTTTTAGTGGTGGTACCACTGCTTACACAATTCGACGTGACGGCAAGAGAGAGAAACGAATTTAGAGAAAGAAAGAACACCAATTGAGCACACCATGTAATCCTTACACTATGGTCGGGAGGTTGCGCGAAGTCCATCGCAGATCTTGGTGCATTTGCGAAAGCTTTGAAAATTTTATTTATAGTCGCTGAATTCTAGATCACAGCCTAGAGCGTCAACTTGATCTGATTTTATTACGTCTTGCGGTCTTATTCCCGCTGACAATGAATATCTTGCCGAAGAAAAGGTGAGGCGAACGCGTTTGCGTACATCTTGATTTGTATTCAAACTTGAAACTGATGTTTTGTACTTGTTCAGATGGCACGTACGAACGAAGGAGAACATCGCTCGTGTACGGAGAGACGAGGCGAAAGCCGCGGAAGAAGAGAGGATTAGAAAAGCGCGAGTTCAGAAAGCGGTACGTGATCGTCTCTCAAAGTTTTGGCTGCGTACATTTTGTATTTTACTACCAACAATGTTCGCCTCTCCCGACGTTATGTACACAATTAATTTATAAGAAATTAAGATTTCACCTCTTTATTTTTCGTTAGGAAACAGAAGCGAGAGTAGATTTGTTAAGACAACGGACGAGAGCCAAGTATGACGGTCGGGAGACCGAGACAGAGACCGAGACCGAGAGTACGAGCAAGAGATTACAGCACGTCAACTTCTTTGCGGAGCTCGAAGATGGAAAAATTGATTACAACAGGCCTAATGCGGAACACGAGAGGGAAAAGAAGGAAGAGAAAGAGAAATACGAGAAGCAGATTGGATACCTGACGTATCTTGGGCAAGATACCAATGAGGCAACCGGGAAGAAAAATTGGTACGAGGAATTGCCAAAGAGATTAACGGATACAGAGAGAGATGTAGAGTTGGAGATAAAAAAGAAAGCCTTGACCGATCCAATGGTTGATATAAACAAGTATCTCAAGATCATGCGTTCTAAGTCTGCCGAGGATCATCTAAAGGTAAAAACGGAGGCCACTAAAAGAAAACGTCATGATTCCGATAGTTCTCACTCCAATCACGAAAGCGGTACGCACAAAAAGTGCAAGGATAAAAAGCACAAGAAGAGGAAACATAGCCATTCAGAGAAGAGAGAAGTTAGGGACCAGACTGGTACGGATACAGAAAGATTGAGAGCGGAGAGGTTACTCAGGGAGCAAAGTGAAAAGCTAAGAACTGAAGCGCTGTTGGCCAAAGTGAGAGGTGAACCAGTGCCAGTTGTCGCACCGGAGACTCCCAAACCTGCTATAAAACAGAAATACAACTCGCAATTCTTCCCTGAAATTGCTAGACAAAATGCAGAGAGAACGCCCAAACATAGTACAGCAAGACGAAATAGAAGTCCTTAAGATACATCTCTTCTATATAGTTTATAGTGAATTCGGTTGCTTGTACTAGTGCGTACTGAGTGTACAGTAATAGCGAATTCGGTTGCTTGCACTAGTGCACACTGAGTGCATACTAAGGCTTGTTTATAGTTTGTTTTTATAGTGGCGATCGTGGCGCAGAGGATTGTGCGACTGGTCTGGTAATCCAAAAACTCGGGTTCAAAACCGAACAAAACATTGTTGGTCTTCGTTCGATCGCCACATAGCGAAGTGGAAATAGAGGGGAATCGATAAAATTTGTTAGTTCTTATATTTAACTGTGTCTTAAGTACATGTACAAAGAGTATTTAGTCAAAAAAAATGATCCGTGTAAACACTGTACGGACCATTTTTCAGGATAAGAAATATTACAAGAGGTATTTAAGATCTTTAAATATAAGAATTGACTAGAAACAAGGCTTATTAGTGTACACTCAGTGCGCACTAGTGGACTTGTTTCTAGTCGATTCTTAATTTAAAGATCATCTTAAATACTTCTTACAAGATTTCTTATTGAGAAAAATGATGTGTACAACGTTTACACGAATCATTTTTTTACTAAATACTCTTTGAACATGTATTTAAGATAAAGTTAGGTATAAAAATTGACTATAAACAAGCTTTAGTGTGCCCTCAGTGCACCCTAGTGCAAACGACCGAATTTGTTATTAATTTCAAGAAGTTGTAATTATAATTTTATTATCTATTACTATGTAATTATATATATGTATATGTATAGAAAATCGTTAAAATTTATATTACATATATATTACATAAACTGCTCAAAAAAGACTAATATGGAAAATTATCTTGGCTGTTTTCTAGAGTAGGTCAAAAGAAATCTAAAAACAAAAGATCTCTAGTCCTAGATAATTCTTTAGTGGGCAACATAGTTGTAGAGACGCTCAAATGCCTCAAGAATAATTTCGATACGTTTCTATTTATTAGACAACGCACTAGTTTACAGGTCTGTTCTTTATAGATGAACTAGTGCAGCCGGTTCAGCTATAAAGAACAGACCCTGTATTCGCGCGAATATACACGTCGAAGAACGATGTATCGATCAAACAGTCGATTGTAGGTTAGAGTTACCTCCGCGTCTCCGCGATACTCCGCATGAGTCCGCCATACGATTCTTCAGCGATGGATTAAAGTGAGGCGACGATTGATGTGAATAGAACGAAACGTTTATTGCCTCAAGTATGAATTAAGTCGCCGCTTGTAATGTGTTCTCAGCTCGGATCTTTCCTCTCTTTGCCGATGTGACGCCTTTGATCCTGCTCCGGAATTACATAGCGCCGTTTACTTAATTTTAAGATGGTAGGTCAGCTCCGGTATTCGTCGACGAGGAATCGGCCGCATTTATCGTGCCAATTTCTACGTTGCAGGATTAACGAGAAAATAGAGGAGAGAGAGAGAGAGCAGCCTCGTTTTGGAATCTATACACCGGAGAAAATTGTCAGAACGTCGGGATCCTGAAAGAGACCGGAAATGTTCAAGAACACCTTCCAAAGTGGTTTCCTGTCCATCCTGTATAGCATTGGCAGCAAGCCCTTGCAAATCTGGGATAAGAAGGTAAGGAACGGGCACATCAAGAGGATTACCGACAACGACATCCAGAGCCTTGTTCTGGAGATATTGGGCAGCAACGTGAGCACAACGTACATCACGTGTCCCGCGGATCCGAGGAAGACTCTGGGTATAAAGTTACCCTTCTTGGTGATGATTATTAAGAATCTGAAGAAGTACTTCACGTTCGAGGTCCAGGTAACGTCCTTGCCGAAATTTAAGGGAAAGTATTTAATCTGATTGAAGTGTCAACTTTCAAAATAAATCTAAAAATCAACGCTATTATTCATATTACTTTTACGGCAACCTATAAATCTTTTACAATCTCTTATTAAACCGAAGAATAGAGACTAGAATTAAGACGAGAGGCGGCAAAAGTCCACGATGCTAGAACTTCGGCTCCAAGTTCTAGCATCGTGGACACAGGCCTTTAGAGATGTGGAAACTGTAAAAAATATTTGACACACTTAAGGAGAAATTAGGAGATTATTATCGTTCAAACTTTCTTTTCGTTTAAAACAAAATGTTCTGCACATTGCAGATAATCGATGACAAGAATGTACGCCGCAGATTTCGTGCCAGCAATTATCAATCGACTACGAGAGTGAAGCCATTCATATGTACTATGCCGATGAGACTGGACGACGGTTGGAATCAAATACAATTCAACTTAGCTGACTTCACACGCCGTGCCTATGGAACAAATTATGTGGAAACACTGAGGGTCCAAATTCACGCCAATTGTAGGATACGACGAGTATACTTTTCTGATCGATTGTACTCGGAGGACGAATTGCCGGCGGAATTTAAATTATTCTTGCCCATTCAAAACAAGGCGAAATGTTGAGAATTAGCCACAAAAATACGCGTGCTTTTAGTAAAAAAATAAAAACGAATCGTTCGATGTTTCTTTAAAAATTTAAAAGATAATTCTAAATAAAAGATAATTTATTTAAGTTTGCCTTAACTTTGTGTGTTGCTCAAAAACTAAGTGTAATGTAATATAATTAAGATTGACTTTTTACTTTTAGTAGAGAGAAAGAGAATATATGTAGACCATGTTTCATGTATTGTGTATTTTTGCTTATTTCATAGAGAAGAAATGTATATGTCGTAGCCCAATAGCGAAATTAGCCATTTAGCTAAAAGCCTAAGCGTTTAGCTAAATGCCGCCCGTTAGGCTAATCGACGACGATATAGTCTAATGGTCTGAAAAATTCAGCCTGTTAGACGACAAGTCGGCTTTTCGCCTAACGGCCTGGTGCGCTTTAGGCGATTAGAGAAATGCTTGTTTTGAGGCTCGATGCGTTGTCAATTTATTTAGTACACAATTATTACTACATTACTATTTGTTAATACAGGATAACATAGTCAATTCATGCCTGAAGTCAATTTATTAAATTTTACACTTTCTATTTGTTAATGCAAGACGAGCTACTGTGACAACGAGAATTGCAAAGGATTTTTGCTTTATAGCAAGCACATCTATTTGTCTGGCACTGATTTTTAGCAATTTTGCAATTGCATGTTTTATATCCCTGTCCACCACTTGCCGATTGCTTCCCAGCAGCTTACTTCAAAGTAAGAAAAACATTTTTGGGAATGTCAGCCATAGTAATAAGATTAGTGCCCGATTTTGCAATTTCAGTACGGGGAAACCACACTTTCAATATCCCATCCTTGGTTCCAATTTTATATACGTCATTTTTTTATCAGTTACAACGCCAAATATGTTATTAAAATAAATTAGTATGGCTCGTATGTGTTAATCACAAATTTCAGAGAATTTTAAAGGACTCAGAGCCGTGACAGGGTGATAGTGTTTAAATATTATATTCTAAGTTTATTGCAAAAAATATCACCTCGGCCAGGGTTTGAACCTGGACCTCCCTCTCGCTAGGCGGGTGTCTCAACCAATTCGACCACCGAGGCAGGGGATATATTGTGGAGATGATACTGTGTTTTAAGACTGACAAATCAAGTCGGCGCACAGTTCT